ATCGAAAAAAGATCCATTTGATCTTGCTACATCATCAATCAACTTGGCTCGAATCTTTTACTTAAGAAGAAAATTTTCTAAAGCACTATCCTTTTATACAAAACCATTAGAAGTTTATCAAAAAACAATGAGATCAAATGATCCTCGTATCGGTAAATTACATGAAGATATTGGTGATGTTTATCGAAAATGGAAAAAGTTTCATACAGCTGCCATATCATACCATCGAGCAGCAGAAGTGTATTACTATTCTTATCCACAGGATGATAAACACAACAAAAGGATACGAAAAGCTATTGGATATTGTAATAAAAAATTGAGGCGAGTTCTGTTCAATTATTTTTGTTTCTATATATTCTTTTATATATAGATTGGGTCGGACAATGGAAGATATCAATTCAAGTCAAACAGCATCTCCCGACAGACAGAGATCATCAATTACAGTGGATCCACCTTCATTGCCCAATTTTCCGGAAAAATCGCTAAGCAAAGACCCACCAATTACTATAGTAATTGGTCAATTTTGATTTGAGTGTGGGGGCGAGAGACTTTAGTGAACAGCGACAGCCACAGCCACAGCCACACCCCACACACCCACAGCCACAGCCACACCCCACACACCCACACCCACACCCCACACACCCACACCCACACCCCACACACCCACATCCACACCCACCCACATCCGTACCCACACTCACACCCCATACCCGTACCCACACCCACACCTACACCCCACACCCACACCCACACGTCCACGCTCACACCTACCCCACACCCAAAAATTTTACAATAAATTATACTTTTGTTTGTTGTTAATGATTTGTGTGTTTTGTGTTTTTTTTTAATATTCTTTTATTTATTTAGTAAATTGTTATTTAATCAAAAAGAAATATATTTAAACAAACAGATTCTTTTTGAAAATTTTCTTTTTATACCAAAACATTCTGGAGGGATGAGGAAGGAGAACGCCGAAAAATTCAGTTTTTACCTGAACGTCTTTTATGAAGACACAATAGCTGATTGCTGTGTAGATACTACACTTGTACGGTAGTTTTGAAATGAATGCTGTAGTTTCCCTCAGAAACACTATGAAAAACTGATTTTTGAATTTTAAACCTTAACGAGAATAGTTTATTGTGAAAGTTTCAAGTCTTTTGATTTGCTCCTATTCTTAAGGCTCCCCCCTCAGAAACGATTTCCCACTTAAGGTGGTCCTTTTAGGCTAAAATTTTCAGGAATGAGTGATCTTGGAGAGATACGCTTCTGGTAAAAATTTCAGCTCGATTGGTCGCACTAGACCGGATTTTCAGCTGATTCATAAGTCATTTTTGGCCTTCAGGAGAATCGATATAACTTCGTCGTAAGATGGGGTAGAGAGCTCGGGTTGGTGTCAAATTAAAGCCAATGTGAGTACGCAACTTTTGTCGGAACAGAATTTTGAAATTCAATCTCATTCATTTTTTATGAGCACTTTAATGGGATGGTCTTAAAATTAGCATAAAAAATGGTGGTCCAACGACAGTAAATCCCACTTTTCTTAGTCCAGGAACCAACTATAAAAAATCCGTTCGGACAAAAATTTACTCTCATTAAGACCTTTAAAACAAAAAAAATTATTGGTTATAGCTTGAAACAGGACGGAGTTATTTCAATTTTTCTGTCTGGAAACCGTATTTTGAGAAAAACGCTAAAGAAATTTTAGAACTGGATTTTTTCATTCAAATCCAGAAAAAATCATATTACAATGGTATATTATTAATTCATTCCAATGGATCGTTTTAGACTACGTAAGAGATGAAGGTAACTAATGCCATCTGACATGCTGGGTAACATAAAAGTGTTCTACTCAACGCTAATGCAAGTGGTAACGCAGTTTTTCCAAAATTGAAACACCTGAAAAATCACGAAAATATGCTAGTAGAGTCAAAGTTTTATATGTAAGTCTTTGAAAATCTGGTCATTTTCCAAAAAGCTATATATATTCTGAAAGATGAAGTTTCGCTGCATCTTTCTGTGATAAAAACTCAACTTCGATATTCTCTTAAAAAGTTCGATTTTCTGAGGGGGGAGGGGGAACTTAATGGGAAAGTTAACCGCAGTGGAAGCATTGACCATTTTATTGCGCTCTTTTTCGAAGTCTAGTTGTAGTGAGGGTCTATTTTTCGTTTGTACAGGAAATGAATTTTTCAATATTGCTGTGACGTGAAGTTAAAAGATATCGAAAGCTTTACTTGTGTCTTACCTATACAGGTGTACGAATCACCTATGAAAATAGGATTATGTTTGTCGTGCGTTTGTTTCACAATTTGACGGATTCGGTGTGGGTGTCGGCGTCGGTGTGAGTTCGGGTGTGATCTAACTATCGTTCACACCGACAGCTACACCCACATCCACACACCAACCCTCCTCTGTAAGGTATCATTACCGAGACCGGAAAATCAGACAAAATCTTGTAACGCCAGATAGGATCATACAAAATATCGTGGTGTCAGAAATCATACACTAAGTCATACTATAAAATGCTTGAAAGATCTTAATTTCGCATAACATTTCCTATAATCTTATATTGTTATTCTATAAGACAGTAAGATCTTTCAAGAGTCTTATAATACGATATCGTGTAAGATTTCTGAGACCACGATTTTTTGTTCGACTTTTGTCTGATCTTACAAGATCATACAAGATCAGATGTAGGATCTTGTAAGATCTTACTATCTGATTATTTGACCTGGGGCTTATGCGACGGTAAGATCTTCCAAGAGTCTCATAGTACGGCTTGACGTAAGATTTTTTTAGGCAGCAATTTTTTGTACGATTTCGTCTGATGTCGCAAGATCTTATCTCTAACTTTTTGACCTAGGCGATGCTATGGCCATATCTTACAAATCAACAACATGTTTCACGAATGTTATTACTGACTTACAGTAAGATATCATGACGATGATTTTCTCAGGAATTTCCGCGTAATCTTATAAGATCACGCAAGAGCAGAGGTAAAATCTGATAAGAGCATGCAGGATCAAAGATATGGTCTTATAAGATCATATAAGATCTTACGATCCGATTGTTTGACCTGAGATGTTACTGAAAGAACGAGATGCGTGGCGTATCTTGCCGTGTCCGGTCTCCGAATCCTAGCTAAAGAGTCAGATTGAAAACGACCAGATCTGGACTACGTAACCACAACGGAAACGGCTGGGTAAGGTTCGTATCCTGTCGCCCGATGAAAGCATTGAAACCGTCACAAAGAAAGGTACCGAAAACGGCAACCGTATCTGGAGATAGTTACTAGAGACAGAAATTGGCAGAAACTGAGCTGGAACCGACAGCCGGATCCTATTTATAAGTCCTACTCCCGGAACTCGCAGGAAAATCACCGGATCCTGCCGTTTCTTGTCGTGCATCTTTGAGCTGGGATGATGACTTTTTCGTCTTCACATTTAGCTTTGATAGTCATCACTAAATTAACGACGGCGATGTCGCTATTTGTTTTAAATTTGAAGTTTTTTTTCTTTCACTTATTACGTTCTTACGTACGTATCGGTACTCATAACTATTGGAATGTGAAGACTGAACTTTTTGAAAACTATATCAGCAGACTTTTTGTTCTCAATCGGCCAGAAAATCAATAATGATGCCTAGCTAATATGTAGCGGATATGATATAAGTGGTCTAGTTCCATATGTCCAAAATTCTTAGCTCGTGGAATTCTAGCGTTTCTTATTCGTTGAACTATAAATCTGTTCAGATGTGTACTCACCGAAACTGCTTTTAATCCATACCTCTCTAAGGGTGTTGATTCAATTTCTCTTCCATCCGATGTATTATAAACTACTATGTAATATTCTCTATAACAGGTAGAGTTGGTTGTTGTACAGATCGGAATAGATTTTATATAAACACAGTTTCTAGTGGAACACGTGGTAACATATCTTGTGTAATTTTTCACAAAACACATCGTTGGTTTGTAAATTGATTCAATATGTTTCTCTTTAACACAAAACGCAGCTCCAATTGATCCAACAATTATCGATACAATTATAATCCAAACCGAAAGGAGAAAAAAACAAACAACACATATCCCACAGCAAGAGCCTTGTGACATATTGTTTCAGTTTTGTAGTAAAAGCGGTTGTATATGTGCATGTATTTTATAGTGAAAGAAGAATGGAAGTAAATATTGATTTTTCTTCAATTCTGCTGTCGTAATTTGATGATTCAGTTTGAAAATTAAAAAACCTTTCAACATACCATCCACATACAGAAGCTAAGTGGCACTCATCGTTCCAACGTCATTTGAAAAAAGGATCAAAACATGATTCAAACTCAAAGATCAACATGTAGATAGATTATAGAAAAAGAAGAAACAACTAACTCTGGTGGCTGATCACGCTGATCACACTCATCACTATCTATAATAAAGCGACAGTTTCTTAATATGAAAAGCTCAGAGAGATAAGTAATAACAGAATCGATGTTTTGACACGTAAAAATATTTTTTTTAAAAAACAACAGGTTTCAAAACATAAACTTTTACCAACTCGCTTTTCTCTCACACAAAAAAAACATTTCTTAACGCGTTAAAATGTGCGCTTTTACGCATAAAAAGGTCTATTTTTTCGTGCCTTGTTTGAGGAAAAGGACTTTTTATACCGCTTTTTAGTAGCAGTGTCGACGACAGCAGGAGATGAGCTAGACCTCAGGCCAACGTAGTTTTGGTCACTAGCGGAGATACCGTGATGACTTTGCATCAATGGCCAGTGATCAAACGATTTGGGCTGACAATTCAAAGACGATTACCTCACGAATGGTGTGGGTGGGTGTGGGTGCGGGTGTGGATGGGTATGGATGCGGGTGTGGATGGGTGTGGGTGTTGGTATGGGTGTGAGTGTGAGTATCAACCTTCCATTTGTCCACACTCACACCCACATCTACACCCACCCTCAAACTTTTTTATGTAGAAAAACTTCAATTGAAGCAGAAAGCGACGAGTTCATACAGCTATATGCATGTATAGTGCTGAGAAACGAAAAATTTCTCTTGGCGGACATTTTTTTTGCATTCTGTTTTCGAAATTTTGTTGAAGTGACTACTTAAATCTCCGAGTATTGGCCGCAACATTTTCAAGAAGCATCGAAAAAGAAAAACTGTGAGAGGTTGGAAATTTTTCTATTTACCAATATAAATAGTCGTTTTTTTGTTGTTTTTTATTGCTGATGATGAGGTATTCTGAAGAATGACGCAGTCGAATAGGTGGGTAGTCATTGTCGAGCGTCATATTTTGAGCATCACCAAAAAGCTAATAAATAGACATCCGTACAAGTTTCTCCTTAGTAACATGCGTGGTAAATTTTAAAAAATATCCGATTGACGGCACTTTCGGCTTCTAGATGTATTTTTGTTAAGAAATTGGTGAATTTAATTTATGCATACGAAAGCTGTTTTGGAGAGAGCATGCCATTTACTATCGTAAATGCAGACACTGGAAGGCATCAGTTAAGCATTACGTCTACAACTTTCGGAA